GTGTGTGTGTGTGTGCGTGCGAACACATGTGTATGTGTACTTTTGTGTGTGTGCGTGTGACTGTTTGCGAGTGATTTATGTTTAATGCATGCATTTGTAGGTCCCCATCGATACAACTTAGATAATTCAGGAGCTGGGCTTCCGACTCGATCTGCCAGGGACAACCCGGGTTGGAAGGGATACAACATCCCACCAAATAGATTGAGATGCTTGACAAAAAAATGTCTCCCAGCTCTGGAATCGAATTTGGGTTCCCTGCGTGCAATGGAGAAGCACATAGGTGCTACCTCACAGACGCCGCGTGTGTGTGTGTGTGTGTGTGTGTGTGTGTGTGTGTGTGTGTGTATGTGTGTGTGTATGTGTGTGTGTGTGTGTGTGTGTGTGTGTGTATGTTTAGCCGCGTGTATTTTTCTAATTGCCAGTATGTGTATATGTCTTCATGTATGCGTGAAGTAGTTTTATACTAGCATACAGTATAGTATTTTTGGTCTCGCAGAAGACAATGAATGAAGTTTCTGTTCTTCTTAAAAGAGCAACTATATGTATACCTTTAAAAGAACCGCCTTGATCTCCAATATCTACACCCCTCATACTTCTATTCTTCGCATCTTCACCCCATAACCCCCTCCCAGTACGGTGCACCCCCACCTTATGCACCTCCCCCCTTTCTCTCCACCTTCTACACATCCACTCCCTACACCTCCACTTTATACACCTATACTCCTTACACCTCCAACCCATACATCGCCAACCCTTACTTTTCCATCCAATACGCATAATTTTAAGAGAACCACCTCGATCTCCTATACTTACATTTCTTATACCTCCATCTCAAACAACTCCCCTTATGTCTTGATTCAACCACTTCAACCTCTTACAACTATACCCCTTATTATACTCTCATCCCCCTGGCATCTCCACACTCTTCCCTAGCTCTTTGTTCTTCTACTTCAGAAAGAAAAAGAAATGACGAGGTAGATGATGAAAAGTAATGAATAAAAATGAATAAATTGATGGGTGAGTTTAATCCAAAATAACTGAACAAATGAAGGAATGGATTTAATAAGTTAATAAACAAATCAATAAATAAGCAAAATGGATTCTTAAACTTTAAAAAAAAATCCCATTGCTTACGTCATATGGATCACAGCGCATGTACTCAAAGTAGGCGAAAACGACAAGTCCCACTAAGAGCAGAAGAGTGCCGTATATGGCCGTCAGTAAAATGTTGATGATGTAGGAGTTCTTGGCGTCCTTCACTGTCTTCATGGCTGAGATCCTCTGTATTGTTGACTGATTGCACAAGTTGGCTAGCCTAAGTTGACAAAATATGAAAGTAATTATTCTCTTATTCCTGCAAGGGGGTGGAGGTGGGGGGTTCGTCTTACAAAAACAACCATGGCAGCATATCGTTACTAACGGGATAACATTGGATTTATTTAAAAGCGACATCAGGTAAACTTTTCAGAAGGAAACTACGGATTTACTCAAAGAATTTTTGAAAGATAATAATATATTGTTCTACGTTTTGCTGAGTATGGTTCTCCAGCGTTTATGATAATAAATAACAGCGGTACAAAGAAACTTTAGCATGTTTTTGCATATTATTATGGTCTCAGTTCCATTTGTAGCGTGTCTTGCTCTGGGACACACAACAATAACAGGTGTCTGCGGTGTAGCGGTAAAAGGCGCTACGAAACTGCTGGCAGGAGAACCCAGTTCAGTTTCCGAGAGTTGAGGATTTTATCGAGTATGTCGGTCTTTCTGCTGGAATGTTGTATCCATCTCAGCGCGGGTTGACCCTGACAGGCAGCATCGAAACCCGCCTTCTAAATGTTCTAAAATGTGTCGATGGGGACGTAAAGCACTTCGCGAAAAGCAAACACCCCCCCCCCCTTCCATCAAAACAGAACACACACACACACACACACACACACACACACACACACACACACACACACACACTAGTGACCACCTGGTTGTAAGCCGCTTCACCTACACTGATTGGTATAATATATTATGACCCTGAACTGATCACTTAATTGTGGGATTTGAAGCAGAATGTGATACAGGCAGTTCGCTTTTGACGAACTCTTACTGTTATTGAAGATACCTGTGACCTTGGATGGACTGCTAAAGGTAATAATTTGTAAGGACACTTTTCAAATGTCATGACGTTGGTTCTTCTGATAGCGTCAGTATGGTTGTAACTGTCATAGGTAATGAAGTCCAAAAAAACAACACATTATATATGTCAGTTATTATAAAGAGGGAGATTAGGAGACGTTACAATGACGCTGATATCACAGGGGAGCAGTCCTATGTGACACTTCAAAATATACTTATTCATTGATATTATAGGGACAAAGATAGGTGCAAAGTTTGGTCACTTCATCAAAAAGTTTGGGAAGAGGAATGTTTCCCGCCCCCTTGTGATAGTCTCAATGGAATACAATAGATCACAAACATTGTTTTGCCTTTAGGTTTTCTCAGACTGATAGAAACGCTTAATTTTAAGCCTTAATATTGTTATAAAATTTTTATTATAATAATTTAAAAAAACAAGACACAGGAGGGAAACAAAATGTAATCGTTTTATAAAGTTTAAGGTTAAAAGTTGACTAAGAAGGCAGTCAAAAAATTATAAAATTGAACTGAATAGATTAGAAAAACAGATTAGAGCCAGGATTCGAACTCACAAACTTAAAAGAAATTGTGTGTTGAACTTCAGCAATGCCTTATCACCTGCCATATTCCTGAAGAAATAGGTATCACTCCTTTCTGTTGTTATGCAGCAAATTCAGGGAGTTTTGACAAATAAGCTTTCGAACACTAATGAAGTCGTGTTATTTTTTAATTTCCAGTTTATTGAACAGACTTCAGAATTGCACTCCACAGTACGGTAAGATTTAGTGCTTCTGATATTTAAGTGTGCCATTTTGAAGCAGAAAATTTTCCCACATCAAAATCACTACCGATATTTACTTTCTGCAGTGATATTTAAACATGTGCTGCTTTTTTTACACGCTTTCGATTAGGTGGTTAGAAAGCACAAGCTCACAGAGAATACCAAACAATGTTGAACATTCACAAGGGTGAGTTCATTGTCACCCGGTGTCTGAAACAGGGTGCCGCACAACAGGAATCTAAAATCTAATGTTTTCTGGTTTGTTGTTGTTATTGTTGTTGTTGTTGTTGGTGGTGGTGGTGGTGGGGGGTGTTGTTGTTGTTGTTGTTGTTATGATGATGATGATGATGATGATGATGATGATGATGATGATGATGATGATGATGATGATGATGATGATTTCATTATTATTATTGTGCTGAGTGTTGTTGTTATTGCTGTTATCTTTGTGCTGGTTGTTTTGTTTTTTTCATTTCTTTTTCTTGCATCATGTTTTTCAATTGGTGGGGGAAGGAGGGGAGGGGGATTTCTTTCCTTGTCATAATAATGTGGGTTGAGAGCTCCACCTTTAAATTTACATGCACTTGGCTACAGTGATATTAAGGCCCATAAAATCTGACTTAATAACAAATCTCTGGTTAGGTACATAATCCTTTCCCAAGATGAATATGTTACTGGTCAAAGAGCAGCCTTACCACATGAAAGTCCCTCCTATAAGGGTCGCCATCCAAGTGTTCCTCTCTCGCAAGTCTGGGCTGGTGCGGCTGAAGTCTAACCTGCCCTTCTCCTGGCATATGTTGATCACATTGCTCATACCCCCAACTGTCGTGGAGCCTGTGTCAGCCAGAGAGATGATTGCTTAAAGATCCCTTATTCTTTAATAAGATCAAGAACAAAAAACAAGAAAAAGAACAAGAATAAGAACAAAACAAGAACATGAGCATGCGAATGAACAAGAACGAGAACAAGAAGAAGAGCAAGAACACGAACAAGAACATGAACAGGACAAACAAGAACACGATTAACAAGAACAAAAAGAGCAAGAAAGATAAGAAAAAGAACAAGAAGATCAAAGATAAGAAAAAGAACAACAAGAACAACAGAAAGAACGACAATAAGAGTGTTAATAACTGCAGCAACAATAACAACAAGAGTTAAAACAACAGATAACACAACAACAGCAAAAACTGTTACAACAACAAGAACAGAACAAAGCTAAACAAAAATCAACAACAACAAAACATATCAATAACAACTAAGATAAACTATGGAAGTCTTATATTAACATAATGTAGCAGTAGCAGCAAAAACCAAACCTGTGATGAGGATGCTGAGGACGCCCACAAGCATGACGGCACACTGGAAGGCGTCGGTCCATATCACACTCTTGATTCCTCCTATGGTTGTGTACACTGTGCCTATGACCCCTATGATGGCCACGGAGAGCCAGAGGGGTATACCAGCAGCTGCCTGTGTGTGTGGGGGAGGAAGGGTTGGAGGGGAGGAGGAGATACACAAAACAAAAAGATATATCTATCCGTCTACTTTGCGCTGTAAAATCATTTTCTCCGGTTCTCCGATTCCTTGAAAGTTCAGCAATGGCGTATAATATGTTCAAACAAAGGAATTGGAGAGAGAGAGAGAGAGAGAGAGAGAGCGAAAGACAGAAACTGAGAGAGGGGGATATGAAGAGCAAAAGAGTACGAGATAGGAGCGAGAGAGAAAGAGAAGCAGAGAGAGAGAGAGAGAGAGAGAGAGAGAGAGAGAGAGAGAGAGAGAGAGAGAGCGCGAGCGAGAGAGATTAAAAGTGAGTGAGTGAGTGAGTGAGTGGGTGAGTGATTGAGTGTGGGAAACTGAAGGAAAAATCTGTTATATATTTGGCAACTTGGAAACACATGTGTCACTTTTCCTATAAAACTACGACAGCTACAGAGTTGAAAGTTGGCAAGTACCTGCAAAAAGATAGATAGATGACGGTGCCCGATTTTTGATTTATTCATTTCCTGAATTTAGACAAATATATTTGACAAAAAGTTCCCGTCCTTCTTTGGCTTTTGTGATTATTCTACCGAGAAACGAAACAAATCTACGTAGCTCTCCTTCACAACGGAAGTTCATTACCGCTCTTCAACGTTCGCCTTAGAAACACTATTCAAGAGACGGGTTGAGTAATTTAAGAGACTCACCTGTAGAACGAGGAGACGTGATCTTGCGTATGCATCCAAAGAGTTGTTTTTAAAATAGGGCCCAAAGAGAAAACGTTTTTATTACTGAGTAAAGATTTCAAAAAATATATTTTTGTTTGGTCGCAAGCCTGTAGCAGTGCCATGCAAAGTTTCGTGGACTTAGGTAAATTTGTCAATGAGCTAGAATTTTTTTACGCTGTCAAAGGAAAGTGAATAAGCTAAAGACAATGCCTCTGTGATTTTGAAGACGTCGTAGTGTTCCGTTTACAGTGTAGCAGCCCTTTCGTGGATTATTATTTTCTTAGTGCTTTTTGTGATGGTGTAAGGCGAAACCCTTATTTTGTGATTGTGAAGGGCTAGACAGCAATAGACTAAAGCAATGTAGATCAAGAGAGGAGCTAATCAAGGATAACTTAATCTAAAGCAATATAGATTTTGAAGCCAGGTGTTACTGTGAAAGGCTATACAGCAATGTGTAAAATGCCTCCGCGGCGTAGACCAGAAGGAGCAGTGACGCCAAGGCGTCGACCCCGAGCAAAGCCGGGTACTCAGCTAGTTTAAGTATAAACGAATAAACCAGTATGAAATAGGATGTACACCTAAGGAAAGTGAAGCATATTAAGACAACTAGTTAACGCTATCTATATATACTAGGGCGCATCTTTAACTCAATTGCTGCCATATCGAAGAAAATTTGAACAATTCTGGTTCGTATCCCAGAGAGAATATTCCTGAATATTGGTTGCTTTTGCGTAGTTAAGACTCTCTACCCCTGTAGTTTTGTTCTATCAGGGATGGACATTTAGAGCGAATTTCTTGCATATCCAAATAAAACCCTATACATCTGAAAAAAAAAAGATATCATTATGCTAAAATCCATGCCATGCATCTCACCTGTAGAGCCAGTGCAGGTGTAAGTTGTACTATGGCCATGTAGAACAGGGTTTGGAACATCCCAATCCCCATGCTGAACATCCTTAGGGTCCTGGAGCGGTATCTCATCTCCAGGTACTCGTAGACACTGGTCAGGTGCAGGGAGAACATCAGAGGGACCGTGGTGAAGTATCCAATGACATAACTGATGCAGAACCCCCCGTAGACAAAGATGAACATCACACCGTAGTTGTAGATATCACTCGGCACCCCCATCACGGAAATAGCCGACTGGAACAGGGTTATAACATCTGAATACAAGTGGGATTTACATACGAAAACACTTTCATAGGTATTTAAGACCTCTAATGAAGTTGGTTGGTTGGTTGGTTGGTTGGTTGGTTGGTTAGTTGGTTGGTTGGTTGGTTGGTTGGCTGGTTGACAGGCTGGCCAATACTCTCGTTGGTGTTTGGTTGGGGTATATTTTCTTTGTTCATCTAGGTCTAGATACACACATGCTTTATTTTCTGTTGTGCATCGTTTCGTATCCCCCCCCCCCACTTTTTAATGTTTGTCTGTGCTCGATAGAGATGTTTTTGCGACGATAAACTTATGAGTGGGCCTGAAGAAGTAGTCTCTCTCTCTCTCTCTCTCTCTCTCTCTCTCTCTCTCTCTC